CCGAGAAGCAGTGTGCACTAGCTCAGCTAGTTCTTTCGTCATGGCATCTCTGTGTGCTGTTAACAGCCCAGTGTTTTCTGGTGCAGACACAATGGGCTGAATGGCCTCCAGCACTGTAATAATTCTGTAATTCTCACTCCATTTTCCACTTTCCAGTAAATGATTCTGACAATTTTTCATCTTCAGAGTAACTCTTTCCCAGGTGAAAGCAAAATACTGCAGATGCTAGAAATCTGAAACAAACACAGAATGCTGGAGAAACTCAGCAGGTCTGGTAGCAACAGTGGAGAGCGAAACACAGTTAACATTTCAAGTTCAGTAATTCTGAAGAAGTCATTGCTGGACTCAAAAAGTTAACTCTGTTTCTCTTAGCCTGGTCTTTGCCCCCATTTTTATTTTTCACCCATTCCCATTGATGTCCTCTGGTTCCACTTTCCAGTAGGACAGGGCTGGGATTTTAATGACAAAAACAGAAGTTGCTGGAAAGTGTTCCTCAGTTCTGAGGAAGGGTCACCGAACCCAAAACGTTAACTCTGATTTCTCTTCGCAGATGCTGCCAGATGTGCTGAGCTTTTCCAGCAACTTCTGTTTTTATTTCTGATTTACAGCATCTGCAGTTTTGTCTTTGGTTTTTATCTGGGATTTTAACGACCTTTGCTTGTGTTCCAGAGCCTATGGCGTTGTATCTACGTGTATGGGCACAGGAATGGGAGCTGCTGCTGTCTTTGAATATCCAGCAAACTGAGACCCTCAGCACTGAAGATCATGGGTGGATAAATTGCAATGGGTACATCGTATAAGAACCCAGTATCTGCTAATTGACATTCCCAGCCTATACTATGATTCAACATTAGCTAATAACTTTCACAGTGACTGATAACTTTTAAAGAGAAATTCAAACTTATAGTTATTTAGCTGAAAGACTGACATGTCGAGGTTTTCCGCTTTAAAAATAACATCAATCAAATAACTAAAAATCATATTCACTAAACACTAGAATAAAAACAAAATACCCTGGATGCTGGAAATCTGAAACAAACATGGAAGGCTAAAGAAACCCAGCAGGTCAGGCAGCATCTGTGGAGAGACAAACAGGGTTAACTTTGAGTCTTCCTCAAGGAGGAATTTCTGTTAACTCTGTTTCTTTGTCCACAGATGCTACCAGACCTGCTGAGTTTCTCCAGCACATTCTGTTTGGACTAAATTTTTTTTTGTGTTGACAACTTTTAGAAACAAAGGAGATAGGATTAGGCCTTTTGAACCTACTCTGCTGTTCAATAAGGTTGTGATTGTGGTCTCAACCCCACATTCCTATCTACCACCCATAACCCTGGATTGCCTTGTCTATGGGCCATTGCACTTACAGTTTAAACTATAGAAATAAACAGATACTGATCACTTTTCCCAGAATTACAGTTCTCATAATTGTTTCCAGTGGGTTGCTTCCTTTCTACTTTCCAACTTGATAACTTCTTGTCCCAGAGTTGCCCCTCACTAGGACGGTTGCACTGTAGATCTTTTTCTCTAGCTTTGAGAAAATTTTTCTATAACTTTGCACAAACTGAGTGTAATCTCCCACCTGCGTCTATGTGGTGAATGATAGAATCAGCCTTTTTTCTTTTTGACATGCTGACCTGACTAATGCTGTTCTTGCCTTGCTCATTATCTCTCCATTGGCAGCAGATCGTACAAGACAAACTTGCGATTGCTGTCTGCCTGAGATATTTGTGCATTTACAGGGAAGCTTGTAACCCAATCTCAAAATGGTTTCCTCGACCCTCTGCTCCATACCAACAGGAAACAGATGATCTTTGCATCTCAGTAAGTTTGCTAATTAGCTATCTATGATCCCAGCTCTCCTTTCATCCCAGAAGAGAGAATTTACAGTACTTAGTTAACAATGTAATAGCTGTAACACCTTTCTGGGACTTTGGGATACATTTGGTCTATTCTTGACATGCTCAGAACCTGCTGACGTAGTCTCCCAGTGCACTCTCAACAAAATAATCCAAGTTTCTTCAGATCTCTAATATAGCCAGGATTACTCTCAGGCAGACTCCAGCTCTGGTTCTTTCACCAGTGAGAGAATCTCAAACTAGTAGACATAGTTACATTTTCATTTAAAACTGAGATGCAAAGGAATTTATTTTTCCAGTCCCAGTATTTAATGAGTAGATAGATTTTTGAAATGTCAGGAATTGACAGCTAAACTGAACTGCCATGAAAGAGGAGTTCAGATCTGGGGTAGATCAGCCATGATCTTGCTGAAAGTTGGGGCAGGCTTAAGGGCTGAATGGCCTGCTGCTGCTCCTAAATATTATGTTTCAAGACCCCTTTCATCAACCCTATATTTAAAATTAATTCCTAAAGTATAGACGTCTAAGATACAATGCTAAGCCATAATAAAGTTATAATTATAACTGCCTTCCTAAATCTGTGCTTCCCTTGGTGCATTGTTCTACTGCTCCTGACCTTTTAAATTTTGTCACCTTGCTTGATCTGCCATTACCTGACCAAGCTCACCAACTGCACAAACACTTTCATAAATGTGAAATCCTTTAATTTCTGAAGCCTAGACTCATTGCATGATTTTGAAACCGTGCAACTCGCCTCCCTCAGCTTTCCCTTTATACAGTGTGTATGTGTTGGAAACCAACATTTACGGCCTTCCTATTCAGCCAATCCCCGTCATCTCTGCAACTGTCTTCTATCTTGTAATGGAGCCATGTTGACCTAACGGAAAGCCTTGGAGCTCACCGATGTTGTCAGCCTGGTTTGGGTGCAAGGGATACTTTGCATCCTTCCCTTCTAGCTGACTTAAACAGTGAGTGGAGTAATAATGTCGACTCTCAGTTTGCAGCAGGAGGCTGGAGGGCTGGCGTAGGACTGCAGTACAGCCAGATGTAGAGGACCGGCCTCTGGATACAGTCAACCCAGGCCTGCAGCCTGTCTCATTGAATAAAATACAGACTTGGTCTTCCTGGCCAATCAGCAGGAATGTGTTATCACCATCACTGTCCTCCATTGTCAGCAACAGGTCACAGTTACTTTTAATCAACCTGTTCAGGGATGTTACAAAACACCTCTGGAGCAGGTGGGACTTGAGCCTGGGTCTCCTGGTTCAGAGGTAGGGACCATACCACTGCACCACAAGATCCCATATCAGGTTACACTGGAAAAGTGAACAGTTAATTAAACATGATTCAAACTAGGATATGTTTGATATTGTGGTAACAAGAAGAAACTTCCGTTCCAAGTATTAGATTTTGGCTGAGGTTATTAAGCAAAGAGTGTTTAATGCATTTTGTTTCACGACTAAAATCATCATCTTTCTTACTATTAAGCTGACTTGCTCTTGATCTTCTTTCTAATAAAGACGTTACTTTTTAAAATAAAGTCACCAGTTTGAGTCTCCATTGATAGTGATGCTTCAATTCATTGACCTCTTGGGATTTGAAGGGGTTCAAGAATGGTACTCATTTCCTTTTCGTACCTAAATTTACAAAAACTAAAACTTTATTATTTTAGGAATGTGGTTGTGGTTTGGCCATCCCTGATTGCCTGGGAATCATTTCTCTCTTACTTGTATGAGATGTGGGTGTTAATAGTCAAAGCCGGTATTGTGACATTTCAAAGTGCTCATCCAAGTACTTTATAAAAATTGTAAGCTTTCCTGACTTCCAGACATTACATTCCAGATTCCCAACACCACCTTCTGGATGAAAAGATTTGGAGTCATTAGCTTGGGATTGGAGTTTGATAAAGAAACTAAAAATGATTGTTTTGTTCTTTCTGCATATTTCACTGGAAGAAGTTTCCGATTATCTAGTACTGCATATCAGATAAACAGTCTAATGATAATTTGGCAAAGGTGGAGGTGGAAGTGACGCAGAGATGGCTATCATCAATGTGATGTAGAGATGCTGGTGTTGGATTGGGGTGGACAAGGTCTGACACCTGAAGTAGGAGTAAGGCTCCGAAAAGCTTGTGTTTTCAAATAAATCTGTTGGACTATAACCTGGTGTCGTGTGATTTATGACCATATCATCAATGTTCATATAAATGGCAGAAGGAGCAGAGGCAGCTGCTTGGATGGTCTGTGTTATTTACAAAGCTTATTGGTGGAGGTCAGGTGAGAGAGCAGCAGGGAGAGATGTTTAAAAAGATGATTTGCAGGACAGAAATGTAAGAGGCTTTAACAGATGAGAGCAGCGACAGTGTTTCCTGTGGAAATGTGACAAACAAAGGGCTTAAAGTTGGGCCACTGGGGATTTTGAATATACAGTTGTAAGCGCACTGGAGGATAGTCTTTTCAGGGGCTAATGCAAGAGAAAATAGTGTTGGGGAATTCAAGGGTGATGTAGGTGTTCAGTGATGCAAGGAGATGATTAGTGATGACCATCTATTTAATTTATACGACAGGTCGAGAAGGTGGGATGGCCAGATCCCTGGGGTAGCTGTCTAAAGTGGTTTTCTCAATGATAGAGTCGTAGAGTCCTAAATTAAGCTACTCCCATTTTTCCAGTCCCATTATCCAGTTGCAAGGCATATGGTAGGAAAACTCCAACCACACAGCAGTAATAGTACTTGGCTCTAGTTCTGGTCAAGTGGGCAGAATGAGATTGTTCCGAAGAAGGGTCGCTGGACCTGAAACATTAACTCTGATTTCTCTCCACAGATGCTGCCAGACCTGTTGATTTTTTCCAGCAATTTCCGTTTTTCTTTCTGCAGTTCTTTTGGGGTTTTTGTTTTGTAGAATGATACCAGGCCTACAGTGGACCACATAGAGAGTAGCACCGGGCAGACCGGAGAGTCACCATTTCACCCAATCCAGTGGGTCTCTCTCCGTGTCAGGGAAGATTAAGCTAAACCTCCATGTGATATTTAATGAAATGACGGCTTGTGCCTTTCACACAAGGAACCAGCTTCTATTACTGGAAATTTTAGATTTAATGAAAAAAAACCCTTTCATAGGTTAAGCATTAATGAAGATAGTACAGCTAAATATTTACATTGATTAACTTGTTGGAGGTTCGAGTAATTTTAATTTCTGCTGACACTATGGGATGAACATAGCTTCGTATTTTTCGTCAAGCGTCCCTCTTCCTTGCACTGAGAATTTTACCGGTCTCTCACCCAGAATTCCTTGGATAACAACGTTTGTTTGATACATTTTCTCATCCCTGTGATGGAACAAAACAAAACTAAGTTATTTCACATGCAGAAATGAGTGAGTAGATATTGGAAAACCCATAAACAGCCTTCAGCAGCAGCAGAGAAAATTGTGAGGCTGAAAGTGATCATCCAGTGTTCAGATAATAAACCCAGCTTCTCATCCTATCCCTTGATATCTTCCTTCTTCAAACTTTCCCCTGTTTTTTGACTACTTAAGTCACTGTACATTCTCCAACCACCACATTCCCCTAATCACAAAATTACCCCTCAGAATTATTGGTTGCAACAGCATTTCATGGAAATCCTCATTACCAACAGCATGGTGTGGTCAGATCAGGCACATAACCAAAAGACCATAATCAGTCCAGCCACATTAATGTTATGGCTGAAAGGAGGAGTCTAAGACCGGATTCTGAATTCTACAAGGGGAGTGCTATTATGGTAAAGGAGTGATTGAGATGCTGAACAGGTGTTAATAATATAGTTGAATAGGTCAGCTGTGCTGAACATGGCTTTGTGCGTAGGAAATCGTGTTTCACTAACTTAATTGAGTTATTTGAAGAAGTAACAAAGAGGATTGATGCGAGCAGAGTGGTAGATGTGATCCATATGGACTTCAGTAAGGCCTTCAACAAGGTTCCTAATGATAGACTGGTTAGCAAGGTTAGATCCATGGAATACAGGGATAACTGGCTATTTGGATATAGAACTGGCTCAAAGATAGAAGTTAGTTGGTGGTGGTGGAGGGTTGTTTATCAGACTGGAGGCCTGTGACCAGTGGTGTACTACAAGGAAGGGGGCTGGGTCTGCTGCTTTTCGTTATTTATATAAATGATTTGGATGTGAACATAGGAGTTATGGTTAGTAAGTTTGCAGATGACACTAAAATTGGAGGTGTAGTGAACAACAAAGAAGGTTACCTCAGAGTACAATAGGATCTTGATCAGGAACAAAACCAGAAATTGCTGGAAAAGTTCAGCAGGTTTGGCAGCATCTGTGAAGAAAAATTAAAGTTAACTTTGGGTCTGGTGACCCTTCCTCAGAGCAGTTCTGAGGAAGATGCTGCCAGACCTGCTGAAATTTTCTAGCAACTTGTTTTTGTTCCTGATTTACAGCATCCACAGTTCATTCAGGATCTTATCAGATGGGCCAATGGGCCAAGAAGGGGAAGATGGAGTTTAATTTAGATAAATGTGAGGTGCTGTATTTTGGAAAGGCAAATCAGGGTAGGACTTATACACTTAAATGGTAAGATCCTGGGGAGTGTTGCTGAACAAAGAGACCGTAGAGTGCAAGTTCATAGTTCCTTGAAAGTGGAGTTGCAGGTAGATAGGATAGTGAAGAAGGCCTTTGGTATGCTTGCCTTTATTGGTTAGTGCATCGAGTATAGGAGTTGGGAGATCATGTTGCAGCTGTATTGGACATTGCTTCAGTCACTTTTGGAGTTTTGTATGCAATTCTGGTCTCTGTCCTATAGGAAGGATGTTGTGAAACTTGAAAGGGCTCAGAAAAGATTTGAGGATGTTGCCAGGGTTGGAAGGTTTGAGCTACAGGGAGAGGCTGAATAGGCTAGGGTTATTTTCCCTGGAGCGACAGAGGCTTAGTGGTGACCTTATAGAGGTTTATAAAATCATGAGGGGCAGGGATAGGGTAAATAGGCAAGGACTTTTTCCCAGGATGGGGAGTCCAAAACTAAAGAGCATAGTTTAAGATAAGAGGGGAAAGATATAAAAGGGACTTAAGGGGCAACATTTTCACGCAGAGAGTGGTGCGTGTATGGAATGAGCTGCCAGAGGAAGTGGTGGAAGCTGTTATGATTATGACATTTAATAGGCATCTGGATGGGTATATGAATAGGAAGGGTTTAGAGGGATATAGGCCAAATGCTGGTAAATAGAACTAAATTTATATAGGATGTCTTGACTTTCTGACAGCAAAGTCAACAAGACAGGGATGGGGAATTTAGAACCACAAAATCCTTACAATGCAGAAAGAAGTCATTCAGCCCATTGAGTCTGCACTGACCCACCTGAAGAGCACCCTTCCAAAACTCAGCCCCCTACCCTATCCCAGTTAACCTCATTTACCATGGCTAATCCACCTAACATTCACATCTCTAGACTGTGGGAAGAGACAGTAGCAACGGGCAGAAACATGGGGAGAATGTACAAACTCCACACATGCAACCACCCAAGGCTGAAATCGAAACCAAGCCCCTGGCAGTGTGAGGCAGCAGTGCTGACCACTGTGGCACCGTGCCACCGAATATCAAGTGGAGGACAATGTTCTTCATGCTTTGAAATTGTGTAACTCAATGTTGAATCCAGAAGCCTGGGGAGGTGATGGCCTAGTAGTGTTATCACTGGATATTAATCCAGAGACCTTGGTAATGTTCCGGTAGTCCAGGTTCAAATCCAGCCATGGCCAATGATGGAATTTAAATCCAATAACTATCTGGAATTAGGATTCTAATAATGACCATGAATCCATTGTCAATTGTTGGAAAAACCCATTTGGTTTACTAAACTCCTTTAAGGAAAGAAACTGCTGTCTTTACTTGGCCTGGCCTACATGTGAGTCCAGACACACACTGATGTTGGGTGATTCTTCACTGTCCTCTGCACAATTAGGGATGGGCAATAAAAGCTGGCCTGACCAATAATGGCCACATCACATGAATGAATTTTTTAAAATTCGTACCTAAACAAAAAGTGAGGTAGTGTTCCTCTAGCTTCACTGGAACCTCGCAGCAGGCCAGAGGAAGGAGGAAGCAGCACCAAAGACATATTTGTCCTTTATGCCAGTTCCACAATTTCTAATTTTCTCACCCTAGCCACTCCCCGTTTGCCATGAATGTACAATCCTTCTTCATGTCCATTCCCCATCAGGATGATCTGAAGACTTTCTCCTTCTTCCTTGATAAGCGAACTAAATTGTCCCCAACCCCACCACTCTCATTCACCTGCCTGAGTCTGTTCTCACTCTAAACAACTTTTCCTTTAACCCATCTCGCTTACTCCAAGTCAAAGATGTGACTGCAGGTACCCATATGGGTCCCAGTCATTGTTACCTCTTTGTGAATTACATGGGACATTCCTTGTTCCAGTCCTACTCTAGCACCCATCCACAACTCTTTGTCCGATAAAGTGACGACATCATATAACATATCCACTACCTTAGAGGGAGTCGGTTAGCTCGGATGGCTGGAAGGCTGGTTTGCAACACAGAGATCCCAATAGCGTGGGTTAAATTCCCACCACCAATAATGCCCAAAGCTGAGGTTACCAAGAAGGATTCTCCTTCTCAATCTCTCCCCTTGCTTGAGGCATGATGACCTTCACGTTAAACCACCACCACCACCACCACCATTTGTTGCTTTCTGATCAGAGATCTGCCCTAGGGTCCCGTAGCACGGTGATCAGTTTGCTTTACATCCACGTTTCCTTTTTACAGAGGTCAACAACCTGGTGTCGCAGTTCAGAATAACAAAGTTTGCGAGCCCCCTGCAGTTACCTGGCCTTGAACGTGATCTGTATCGCTACACGGCTTGTTGATAAATGGATGGAGTGAGCCTGTAAAACCCCATGCTCGGGACAAATTTCAAACACACCCTGCTCTTCCTGGCTTTCAATTGGAGCTGTGGAGAGATGAGAAGAGTTCAGCATTGAATGGATAACATTAATCAATCTGGCAACAAAAGACGGCTCACCATTTCATCATGGATAGAAAGGTGGTGAGAGAATGGGATGGAGCGCTTCCAAAATGTTGCTAGCCAGTATCAGTATCGACTACTCTCCTGCCTTGCTGTCTCTGTTTTATGACAGTCCTAATCCCAGCTTCACCAATACCACATTGTCTACTTTTGGACTGGCCAGTCTGAATTTTTGTTCATTCTTTCAGGGAACATGAACAACAATAGTCAAACTTGTTGCCCAGTTAAATTGCCCTTTAGATCATCAATAAAGTGCCAGTAACAAAAGCAGAAATTACTGGAGAAACTCAGGTCTGGCAGCATTTGTGGAGAGAGAAGCAGAGTTAATGTTTAGAGTTCAATGACTCATCTTAAGAACTGAAGGGACCAGAAAATGATGGTTTTTATAGTGTTGATAAAGGTGGAGGAGGAGCCAGTGAAATAGATTATGAAAGTTCCTACAGAAAAAGATGAAGGGAGTGCTAATAATGGTAAAGAAGTGATTGAGATACTAAGTAGATGTTAATGATATGTCTGAATAGGCGAAAATAGGTCAGCTTTGCTAACAGCAAAGCCAACAAGACACAAGTGATGGTGTATCAAATTGTGGACAGTGCTCTTCATTCTCTGAAATTGTTGAACTCAATTTTTAGTCCTGAAGGCTATAAAAGTACCTAAGCAAAAGGTGAGGTGCTCTTCCTTCAGCTTTCTTCACTGGAACACTACAGCAGGCCTAAGATGGAAATGTTAGTATGAGATCAGAATGGTGTATCAAAGTGGCAAGCAATTGGAAAGCCCCTTCTTCTGAACTCACTGGACCTAAAAAGTTAACTCTTTCCACAGACACTGCCAGACCTGCTGAATTTCTCCAGCAATTTCCATTTTTGTTTCAGATTTCCAGCATCTGTAGTTTTTTAATATATATAATAAAGTGCCCATCCTGCATTGTCCTGCATCCCTGCTAAGAACAAGAATGAAATTGGCCTCCTTCTAGAAATGATTTTTGCAACCAAAAATGAAGCTTTCATCTATTTAGGCTATTGCAAATGAGCCCAGCTCATGGAGATGAAAGAATCCAGAATCTAGAATTAAAGGGTTCCCCCCATTTATAACAGAGATTTGATGAAAACTTTTCCAAAAATGGACAGTGTTTTGTGGTTGAATAAATCAACTGTCATGCGGTCAGTAGATAAACTTGATATCTTATGTACTTGTCAGCCCAAGCTTGGCTGGCATTCCAGGTCTTGCTGCATTTGAACATGGACTGCTTCATTTATCTGAGGAGTCACAAATGGTGTTGGACATTGTGCTATCATCAGCGAACATCCCAACATCCGACCTTATGATGGAGGCAATGAAGCAGCTAATGATGATTGGGCCTAGGACACTACCCCAAGGAACTCCTGCAGAGATGTCCTGGAGTTGAGATGAATGACCTCCAACAACCAAAACCATCTTCCTCTGTGCCAGGTATGACTAACCAGCAGAAGAGTTTGCCACCTGATAACCATTGATACCAATTTTGATGCCACACTCAGTCAATTGCAACCTTAATGTCACAGGGGGAGGCAATGGTCTAGTGGTATTCTCGCTGAACTGTTAATCCAGAGACTCAGGTAGTGTTCTGGGAACCTGGGTTTGAATTCTGCCACGGCAGATGGTGGAATTTGAATTCAATAAAAATCTGGAATTAAAAGTCTAATGATGACCATGAAACCATTGTTGATTGTTGGAAAAACCCATCTGGTTCATTAATGCCCTTTTGGGAAGGAAACTGCCATCCTTACCTGGTCTATACTACTGTGACTCCAGGCCCACAGCAATGTGGTTGACTCTTAACTCCTCTCTGGGATGGGCAATAAATGCTGGCCTAGCCAGCGACATCTTCATTTCATGAATGAATAAAAAAGAAGGCTGTCACTCTCACCTTACCTCTGGAGCTCAGCTCTATTGTCCATGTTTAGACTAAATGGCCCTTGCAGAAGTCAAAGTGAGCATTAGTGAATCTTGTGATCATGAAACCACTGGATTGGCCAAAAACCCATCAGGTTCACTAATATCCTTAAGGAAAGGAAATCTGCCATCTACCCAGTCAGGTCAGTTGTAACTTCAGACCCACAGCAATGTGGTTGACTCTTAACTACCCTCTCCAGTGGAATCACAAGCCATCCTCAATAGTGTTCCAAGAGGGCCACCACCTTCTTAAAGGCAATATGTGCTGACCTTGCCAGTACTGCCAATAATCTGGGAATGAATTTTTAAAAGGTGTTCTGATTAGCCAACTATAAGGAGACTTATTGGTCTGTTTTTGATAACTGAAGAACACTGGGGAGCTTTGATAGTTAAACCTATATCTCCTGGAGTCTGTGTGTTTATCATGGATTTCCCTCCTGCAGTCTTGGATCTAATGCAATTTACAATGCTTACATTTAAAAAGAGGTCAAATGTTGAAATTATGCTGTTTGCTATTAGTGCTGAAGTCAGTTACATTTGGTATCAAGCAATGCTCACTCTCATTTCCCTTGGTCTTATGCGAATGTCCAGAGGTCTATGTGCGGCAGTGACTTCTGGAAATGGAAGCCATGCATCAAGTCGCTGATCTATGCACATGAAGCTTCCACACGTGGGTGTGCCACATAGAAGGAACATTGGTATCAAGTCACTGTTCCGAGAAAGAGTAATGTTGGACTGGAAATGTTTACTCTGTTTCTCTTTCCATAGATGCTGCCAGATCTGCTGAGTTTCTCCAGCATTTTATTTTGTTTTTAATCAGATTTCCAACATCTGTTTTTTGCTTCTATACATTTGGTATCAAGTTAATCTCCTAACTATGGTGATGGAAGCTGGGATTACACACCAAATGTCCATGGCCCACACATTTGGAAGCTCCACGACGAACGGCACTGGGGTATAAAATGGATGGTAATCCTCATCTCAGTGAGTAAGGTATTTCAAATCTCACCGATTGCTGCAGTCCAGAAACTCTTTGACCCTGTCCTGTTCAGGAGGAAGATCTCCCTTCTCCTGCATTGTCCAACCAAGCAGATTCCAAAATCGATGCAGTCAGTGGAAAGCTCAAGGAATGGCAGCGCAAAGGAAGCATGGAGAGGGATGAGCTGTAAGGAGGAATCTCAGTTTTCTATCACAATCTTCTTGACAGCACAGGTATACAGGTATTCCACAAATATAGCCTACAGTATTTCAAATAACAGAACAAACAATTGCAAATCTGTATTTATCCAGTCAGGAACAATTGGAGGGTATATCATGAATAAAGGAGGAGGTAAGAAAGTTGCCTTCAAAAGAGAGGTGATCTACGATCTAAATTGACTTCATCCTCCAAGTGAACTGATTGTTATGGAAAGTAACCCAAAAATCCAGAGACCCAGGTAACGTTCTGGTGAGCCAGGTTCAAATCCCGCCACAGCCAGATGGGTCATTTCGAATTCAATAAAAAAAATCTGGAATTAGCAATCCAATGATGACCATGAATCCATTGCCAACTGTTGGAAAAACCCATCTGGTTCACTAGTGTCCTTTAGGGAAGGAAACTGCCATCCTTACCTGGTCTGGCCTACATGTGACTCCAGACTCACAGCAATGGTGTTGACTCTTAACTGCCCTCTGGGCAATTAGGGATGGGTAATAAATGCTGACTACCCAGTGACGCCTTCATTCCATTAATGAATAGAGAAAATAAAAGACACTTTGGTCCAACTTGTCCATGCTGACCTGATATCCTAAATTAATTTAGTCCCAACTGCCAGCATTTGGCTCATATCCCTCTAAACCCTTCCTATTCGTATATCAATCCAGATCTTTTAAATGTGGTAACTGTACCAGCCTCCACCACCTCCACTGGCAGCTCATTCCATACAATCACCACCCTCTGCGTGGAAGGAGGGAAATATTGGAAAACTACCAATGTTTATTCCAAACCTTTGTTCAAAAATGGAGGGAAACAAAAAGCAAGTAACGATAGCTCAGTTAGTGTAATATCTGTTACTGGAAACAAATTAAGAGCCTACATTAAAAGATTTAAAACAGATCATTTAGAAATGCATAGAATGCCCAGAGTAGAAACAGGCCATTTGGCCAACAACTCCACCCCACCCTCCAAACAGCATCCCACCCTGTCCCATCCCCCTACTCTATCCTTGTAACCCTGCATTTCCCATGGCTAATGCACCTTACCTGAACACTATTGGTAAATTAGCATGACCAATCCACCTAACTTGTACATCTGTCTTGGAAGGAAACCAGAGCACCTGGCAGAAAACCACACAACACGGGAAAACGTGCAAACTCCACACAGTTGCCCAAAGCTGTTGCTTGAACCCGGGTCTCTGGCACTGAGAGAGACAGCAGTGTTAACCACTCAGCCACCATGCCACCCCATTATATGATCAGAGTCAGCATGGCTTTGTGAAGGGTTAACCATGCCTGACAAATTTCATGCAATTCTTTGAGATGGTAACAAGTAGGACAGATAACGGGAAATCAGTAGATGCAATACATTTGGATTTTCAAAGGGTATCCGATAAGGTACCTCACACAAGAACCTATGGTGTTGGAGGTAGTACATCAGCATGGATTTAGGATTGGCTCCCTAATAGAAAACAAGAAATTGGGATGAAAGGGATATTTTTAGGATGGCAATGTGTAACTAATAGGTGCCTCAAGGATAATTGCTGTGGCCACAGTTATTGAAATATTTAAGTGTCTTGGATGAGAAAAGTGAATGTACTATCGCCAAGTTTGTGGATGACACAAAAATGGGTGGGAAGGCAAGTGGTGACACAAAGAGTCTGCAGAAGGACATAGACAGGTTATGAGCGGGCAAAAACTTGGCAGATGGAATATAATATGGGAAAATGGGAGGGTAGAGGAGCTGAATATTATTTAATGGAGAAAGACTGCAGAAAACTGAAGCATAGAGAGATTTGAGAAACATCGTGTATAACTCAGAAAAAGCTCGCATTGAAGACCAGCAGATAGTAGGGAAGGCAAATGAAATGCTGGCCTTTATTTCAAAGAGAATAGAGTATAAAAAATAGGGATGTCTTGTTGAAACTGTACAAAGGCACTCAGACTACACTAGAATAATGTGAACAGTTGTGGGCCCCTCTTCCACACCATTCAAAAACAACCATGTAACTACTCTAATCCCATTTTCCAGCACTCTAGCTTTATATGCCTTGGCGTCACAAGTGTACACCTAAATATTTCTTACATGTTATGAGGGCTTCTGCCTCCACTACCCTTACAGACTGAGTTCTAGATTCCTGTCACCCTCTTAGTTAAAAAAAAGTTTCCTTACATCCCCTCTAAATCTCTCGCCCTTACCATAAATCTATGCCCCTGATCATTGATCTCTCCCCTAAGGGTAAATGTTTCTTCCTGTCCACATTTGCTATGCCCCTTATAATTTTATGCATCTCATTTGGGGGGGGGGGGCGGCGAGGGTGTTGATTGGTTGGACAGCTGGTTTGCAACAGCGCAAGTTCAATTCCCAAAATAGCTGAGATCACTATGAAGTTCCTACTGTCTCAACCTCACTCCTCGCATGAGGTGTGGTGACTCTCAGGTAAAACCACCACCAGTCATGCAATGAGAAAGTGGTACTATGGTGATTTTACATTTCAATCATGTTCCCTCTCAGTCTCTTCTGCTTCAAGAAAAACAACACCAGTCTATCTAATCTCTCTTTATAACTACACTCTCCAGCCCAGGCAACATACTGTTAAATCTCCTCTGCATCCTCTCCAGTGCAATCACATCCCTCCTATAATATGGATTCCAGAACTGTACACAATAGTTAGTTGTGGTCTAATCAAATGCTTTATACAGTTCCAACATAACCTTCCTGCTCTTAAACTCTATGTCTCAGCTAATAAAGGCAAGTATTCCTTATGCCTTCTTAACACTTTTATTTACCTGTCCCACCACCTTAAGGGGCTGATGGAAATGCAAACCAAGGTCCCACTGATCCTTGGCGCTTTCCAGGGTCCCACTGTTTCGCTTGTCCTTTTCTTAGAAGGCAGTGAATCTGTGGAATTTATTACCGCAGAGTGTTCTAGACTCTGGATCATTAAATATGCTCAAGGCTGAGACAGACTCATATTTTTAATCAGCAAGGGAATTAAGGGTTATGCAGAAAAGAAAGGAAAGTGGAGTTGAGGATTTTCAGACCAGCCATGATCTCGCTGAATGGTGGAGCAGTCTCAGTAGGTCAAATGCCTTTCTTCTTCTCCAAACCTTATGTTCTCACTTTTCTCATTTTGTCTTGTAGGATGCGGGCATCACTGGCTGGCCAGCTTTTATTGTCCATCCCTAGCTGCCCTTGAGAAGTCCATATAATATTATAACTGTCTCCGTACAGCATTGTGACTGTCCCTACACCACATTGTCTCCAATCATTTAAGAAAATAGCTCAGTACTATGTTCTCCAGGTCAATTAGGTATTGGCAATAAGTGGATACAGAACTGGCTTTGTCATAGAAGACAGAGGGTAGCGTTGGAAGAATGCTTTTTGGAATGCAGGGGTGTTAACTAGTGGTGTTCCACATGGATCAGTGCTGAGACCTCTGCTGTTTGTGGTCTACATAAATGATTTGGAGAAAAACGTGGTTGGTCTAGTTAGTAAGATTGCGTCGATACAAAGATTGGTGGAGTTGCACATAGTGAGGAGGATTGTCAGAGGATACAGCAGGATATAGAAAAATGGCAGATAGAGTTTAATCTGGACAAATGTGAGGTGATGCATTTTGGAAGGTCAAGTACAGTTGGAAATTATACAGTGAATGATAGATCCCCTAGGAGTATTGACATGCAGAGGGATCTGGGTGTGCAGGTCCACAGATCACTGAAGATGGCAGCACAGGCAGATAGGTAATAAAAAAGCCCAAGGCATGCTTGCCTTCATTGGAAGTGGCATTGAGTATGGATAGTCAAGTAATGCTGCAGCTTTAAAGAACATTAGTTAGGCCACACCTGGAATATTACATACAGTTCTGGTCACCACACTACCAGAAGGATGTGGATGCTTTGGAGAGGGTACAGAAAAGGTTTACCAGGATGTTGCCTGGTATGCGGGATTTTAACTATGAAGAAAGGTTGGATAGACTGGGTTTATTTTCACTAGAACATTTAAGGTTGAGGGCGACCTGATAGAAGATTATGGAAAGTATGAGACTTTTTTCCCCAGGGTGGAGGCGTCTATTACCAGGGGACACAGGTTTAAGGTCGAGGAGGGGAGTTTAAAAGAGATCTACGAGGCAAGTTTTTCACACAAAGGGTGGTGATTGCCTGTAACCCACTGCCAGAAGTGGTGGTGGAAGCAGACAAATTAGCAGCATTCAAGGAGCACCTGGATGAATACATGAATAGGAAGGGAAGAGACGGATATGGATCCTGTAAGTGAAAACAGTTTTAGTATGGAAGAGCAAAACATGTTGGCGTAGGTTTGGAGGGCCAAAGGGCCTGTTCCTGTGCTCTGTTGTTCTTTGTTCTTCTTTATTCTAAATGCTGGCCCAGTTACATCATATAAATGAATTAATAAAAGAAGAAGAATTTTTAACAAGAGGATAAAGGACCTGGTATGAAAACTTCAAAAAGTCTTTGTACAGATATTCCCTGCCTGTATCTTACCTGGGTTGTCTTGTTGCTGTACTCAATCACAAGGTCCTGGTTAAACTCCAGTTTCCGTTTTCTCCTTTGACACCAATTTTCCTGGCATTTCAACAAGTCCAGAGAAGTGCAAAACGCAATGGTGACCTACAAAGATACAACAGGAATCATTAGTGTTGTACAGTGCTGGGTACCAGTCAGCATCATTACAACTGGAGGTTGCAGAGTTGCACTAATCTTTTTTAGTCCCACTGATTTTAATATACCTTGAATATAACCATGCTGGTGATATGACTGATTTCATAAGATCTCAGATGTAAGGTGTGTCAGGTTCAGCATTAAGTGCAAATCAGCCAGGTTTCTTTAATCAATTACAAAGAATTGTTTTATTACCAAAAAGAAACTTACTCAAACAAAAGGTGAAATAATTAATGACAAACAGTTTGGACTATGCAAATATGGATTCTATAAGCCTTCTAAAAAGCTAACACAAACATGTACACAAGCAAACTTGTACAAACAGACATGGGCAAACATACAAATACACACACACACACACACACACACACACACACACGTGAGGTGAGGTGAAACAAAAATGTGAAAACTGTACAGAATGTTTCATTAGTCAAGAATAGCTAAACTCATGAGAATTGGATAAGTCACGATTGTCCTAAATATTCTGATTCCGAGGCTAGTCTGTACACACAAACTAGATGTATTCCTGGCTGAATTCCCTTTTCTTCAAATGGTGGGGCATATTCAAACAAATCCTCTCCAGCAATAACATCAAAGGATATGAAAATAGTGTGGGAATAATGGCACTGAGGAGGATGGGTCAATATCCTGGAATTCCCTTCCTGAAGACCCTGTGGCTGTTCCTACTCACCAAGGATGGCAGTAGTTCAAGAAGGCAGCTCATCACCACATTCTCAGGGGTAATTAGGGGTGGGTAAAGAATGCTGGCCTATCCCATGAACGAATAAAAATAAACATACCACTCTCACAGTATTTTGTAATGACCCACCCATTCTATGCATGACTGAACTGGTAACTGAGCATTAGGTTAATGGCATAATATTTTGAAAGGAGGCAGGAACATATGATGGGCTAGCTTACTAAATGCTGTAATTGTGCATTCAGTAATCATGGTCAGAAACTGTTCTCATTCCTTTGAAATAAGTGTGACAAAAGCACCTTTCATACATGTAAACAGCATTCCTGCTGTACTTCTGGTAATATTAAGTATTGGGCTTGGAGAAAGTTATTCAATTTGGATAGGACTATGACTTTAAGGCAAAGCTAATGGGCAGGGCTGAAGAGAAAACTCTCGTGACATCACACTCCAGAGCCTGTATTGAGAGAAGTTTGGATTTAACTCTCATTCCCCTACATTCCCCCAACCACGCACCCCTGGGCACTTACATGCAGGTGTTGTTGGGGGTATAGTAACAGCATCTTTGTATTCTCCTCCCGGTCACTGTTCGAAGATTTAAGGCTGTTTTTGGGGTCCACATTCAAAATACAGAAAGGTCTTTGAAGCAAAAACTGAAAGTAGAGAGCAGTCTCACTGGGATTTGTCAGCTTGAAGCCACGTGTCGTCAGGACTTCTTTTTGGATCTGGATAGAGAGACGGTAGGAAGAGAATCAGAGAAAGAGAAAACTTAGTTCATGTTACCATGTGTGGGTAGGGTTTGGAATACACTATCAGGGTGGTGAATGCAGATTCTATTGCAGATGTCATACGGGAACTGAATAATTCACGGGAGGCAATGGCCTAATGGTATTATTGCCAGACTGTTAACCCAGAGACCCAGATAATGTTCAGGGGGCATGGGTTTGGATCCCACCAGAGCAGATGGTGAAATTCGAATTCTATAAGGTATCTTATATTGGGTGGCATGGTGGCTCAGTTGTTAGCACTGCTGCCTCACAGCACCAGGGACCTGGGTTCGATTCCACCCTCGGGCAACTATCTGTGGAGTTTGCACATTCTCCCCATGTCTGTGTGGGTTTCCTCCCACAGTCCAAAGATGTGCAGGTTAGGTGAATTGGCCAAGCTAAATTACCAATAGTATTCAGGGATGTGTAGATTAGGTGGGTTACAGGGAGATGGGTCTGGGTTGGAGGCTCTGAGGTTTGGTGTGGACTTGTTGGGCCGAAGGGCCTGTTTCCACACTGTAGGGATTCTGTGATGATTCTATTCTACGATGATGATCTGGAATTAAGAGTCTAAATGATTACCATGAATCTATTGTTGATTGTCAGGGAAAAACCCACCTGGTTCACTAATGTCCTTTAGGGAAGGAAACTGCCATCTTTACCTGGTCTGGCCTACATGTGACTCCAGAACCACAGCAATGTGGTTGACCCTTAACTGCCCTCTAGGCAATGAGGGATGGGCAACAAATGCTGCCTGGTCAGCGATGCCTTCATACCGTGAATGAATAATGACAAAAAATACTTGAAGGAGAAAAAATTGCAAGGATGTGGGGAAAGAGTGGGAATATGAACCTAAATGGATGGCTATTTGAAAGAATTGGTGTAGATTCAAGGGGACAAATGGCCTCCTTTTGTACAATCTATGGTTCTGTGAAATCTGCAGAATTCCAGCCTCTCATTGATTAAGATGATGCAGAAAGGCTAATAGAGAGTTACTGTGCTGGAGAATGAACCAGCTATTAGTTTGGGTAGAGTACTGCCACTAGTTATCTTTGTTTTAATTAATTTAAAGGTCCTAATTGGTTAAAAATAGCAGAGGATTAATTACCAGTGAGCTTTAACACAAAGAGGCACTCAGTCACAGAGTCATAGAGGTCTGCAGCACAGCAAAAGACCCTTCGGCCCATCATATCCAGGCCAGTCATAAACAATCACCTAAACTACACTAATCTTATTTTCCAGCACTTGGTCTATAGCCTTGGCACCAAGTGCATATTTAAATATTTCTTAAATGTTATGAGGGTTTCTGCCTCTACCACCTTTACAGCAGTGAGTTCCAGATTTCCATCACCCTCTGGCTGAAGATGTTTTTCGTCACATCTCCTCTGTATTGCCTGTTCCTTACCTTAAATCTATTCCCATCCCTCATCACTGATCCCTCCACCAGATTTTCTTCCTTGCTACACTTTCTATGCCCCTTATAATTTTATATATTACAATTATGACCACCCCCCACCCTGTCTCTTCTGCTCCAAGGAAAACAAACCCCATCTGTCCAATCTTGCTTCATAACTGCAACTCTTCAGCCTAGGCAACATCCTCGTAAATCTACTGCAGCATCTCTAGTGCTATCACATCTCTAAGCATCATCTTAGCGTGATGCTGTTCATTTCAAGAAAGCAATAGCTGCAAGTTATTTTGGCCAATTAGATATAATTAAAACAGACAATGATGACACATCAGTCTCCATCAGGATCTTGAGCTTGACTTCACTTCCCCTACCAAAGGCTGCAGGACATCATCAGACAAAGTGAACCTTAATACAAATCACCAATATTAATCCTTTAAGGACCATTACCTTACAGAGCAAACACCCAGAGTGAGGTGAGGAAGCACAGACTATGACTGTACAATAATACATCAGCAAGTGTCAGGGGAGGCAATGGCCTACCGGTATTATCGCTAGACTATTAATCCAGAAACTCAGCTAATGTTCTGAGGACCCATATTCAAATCCCACCATGGCAGATGGTGAATTTGAATTCAATAAAGAATCTGAAATTAAGGGTCTAATGATGACCATGAAGCTATTATTGATGGTCAGAAAAAAAACATCTAGTTCCCTAATGTCCTTTAGAGAAGGAAATCTGTCATCTTTATCTGGTCTGGCCTACATGTGACTTCAGACCCACAGCAATATGGTTGGCTCTTAACTCTCCTCTGGGCAATTAGGGATGGGCAATAAATGCCTGCCTAGCCGAGATGCCCACATCCCATGAGTGAATAAAATAAAAGTATCTGGTGTCTTCTGGACAGGAGGGAAAAATGGCAAAAGTATCCATTTCATGGTTGTGTCAGGTTAGAAGCAGCAAGGCAAAGGGTTCTAGGCTTTGATAATTGAAAGCTCTGCCAGTGATGGAATAACCAACAGTTCAGAGATAGAAGGCCATTGGAGATGGAATGGGATGTAGGACAGGAGAAGTAATTAGGTCAGACATTGGAGGAAGTTGTAATTGCAGATGGGAAATTCCAATCTTGATAAGGTGGCAAGAACAAAGTAATGAATGTAATTGATTAAGGAGTCTGGTGTGTTAGAAGTGGAGTGTGGAGGAGGTGACAGAAGGTGGATGAGGCACGAATGGTTAGTGCTAGTTTAGGAGAACAGAGATGTGTTGGGGATGGAGAAATCCTGCCAAGGTTCTTCTTTTGGAAACTGCATGTGTTAGCATTGTGAGAGAGCACAATTATCCCAGCATTGAAAAGATTGCTGCCAATTGGTCTAGAGACACAAATCAAAAAAAAAAATCACTTAGTTAGCTTGGTAGAGGTCTTTACCACCAGGCAGTCAATGACGGTAGCCCAGCAAGAAATC